CTCATCTCTCTTATTCAACCCCCTAGACTTCAATACAGCCTTTAACTTTTTATCTCTTGATCTTAGAAAACTTTTCTTTGCAACTTGATCCTTAAGAATCCTTCTTATCTTTTCAGAGAACTTCTAAGACTCCTTCTATTCAGGCTATTTCTTCCGCCTCTAGGCTCAAAATTTGAAATGTTACACAAAGATCAATCTCTTTTAGTTTTGGGCATGTTCCCAAGACTTAAGGGCGACTACCCTCTACTGAGTTATTAGATATCTTTAGTCAACCTCAAAACTTGTGTAGCTTGGTTAGGAAGCATTCCTGTCAATGAATTTGAGCTAAGCTAAATCACCTCCACATAATTACTCCAATACTGAATTCTCGACAAGTTCCCTGATAGCATGTTGTTGCTTAAATCTATTATGGCGCCGTGGCCCGCCTTGACAGGTAAGGGCCCTGACAGTTTGTTTGAAGATACATTAAGCTTCTTCAAAGTTACAGGAGTAGTGCTTCCAACAGGACCTGCAGAGAAGAAAAATAATGTCTTTAAGGAAGAGAAGCAAGGGAAAAGGGGATCTACTAAAATATCAGCAAACTCAACTGGATCATAGTATAGGACATTGCTACATGTCAAACTAACATTTTCTACTTGGGAGAAAGAATATGATATGTTTATGCATGAAACTTCGAACCAAACTACCGTCAAGCTTGTTTTGACTAAGATCCAGTTCAGACATCATTGAACTCTCCTTCAATAGACCTTCTGGAAGAGAACCAGGTAACTGGTTGCATCCAAGCCGAAGAACCCTTAAGAGATACCACAAATGTGCAGGAAGGTATATTACCCACTAATTGATTATTACTAGCATCAAAGACCTCTAAACTGTCAAGATATGGCATCCCATCATGAGCAAACAGATCACCAACGAGGACAGAAAAGAGCTAATTCCAAGTCCTAAATCCAGTGAACCAGAAAACCTGTTGGCGCTTAGGTCAACATGAACAACGCCACCCATGAGAGAAAAGATATGCATAATATCAGAAAAGTTATTAGAGCACAAATCTAAATACTTGAGTTTGCCAGAGCCAACAGGAACTGTACCATCAAATTAATTTGATGAAAGATTTAAATACACTATATTATGTTATTCAAGCAAGTCAAAGGGTCCCAACCCATGAAACTTTTTGACTAAGAGATCAAGAAATTCTAGTGATTCCGTTGGACCAAAATGTGATACACTTCCCATGAACTGGTTGTTTGAAAGTGACAAGTTTTGAAAACTTTTACGCCCATTAATGGCAAGGAAATTAAACTCTCCAACCAAACCAGCATTATCCAGAGTCATCGATATAACATTGCCTTCAGCACACGATATCCCATACCAATTCTGAGGACGTCCATCAGAAGCCAAAGATGTGGAATCCCAAGAATTAAGTAGTCCAGAAGGGTCATTCTGAATGCTCTTCTTGATTTCAAGTAGTGCATCAATATCTGAATTCCCTAACACAATCATTTCATGCAAGTAAGAATACCAAACAGATGGCCTGCATGCCTTCCCAAGTAGCACCTACACCAAGCATCAACAGCGATATGAGGAAAGTACAACATTGCACGTAAAACAAACTTGAACGCATTATCGCAACGATAATTAAGGATCATAAAAATATTCAGAGATATCTGGATTCCAAGAGGCATCCAAAAAGTCTGGTATCATCCAATACACCAGAGCACACAATTCGAACAATAGGAATCTCACATCCCTACTATATGGTCTTTGAACTTTCATCTCAATTCTCATGTCAAACAGGAAAATCTGAAATATCATGGAAAGCATGGAATGTGAGATAATAATGTACCCAACTGCTACACAAAAGCAAACGCACGTCCAGGTAAAGGCCAAACAGTGAAAAAAAGACAGTCAAAACATTCCTTTTTGCTCCTATAGTTGCGAATCTCAACTACAAATTTTGCAAAATTGAAGCTTTTACTGGGTCAACTACCGCATGAATGAGTTCAGCACTCTGAGCAACAAATCACAGGAATTAGAACACAACTGAGAAATGCACTACTTAAAGTTAAACTTGCTGCAATTACAATGCAATCCTACCTCGTGGTTGAAACCCAGTGAACTTAAATGACGAAGCATACACGCGTGAAGCACAAACCCAGAAAACCACGGAACCCCAGTGAGAAAAAAACAGAGAGGAAGCTGCGCATCGTGAGGAGGAAAAGGTATAGTAGTACATTGCTGTGAATGGAGAGTGAAGAAAGAGGAAGAATCTTCTTGAGAGAAAGCCATGATGAGAATGAGTGAGACGGAAAGAGTAAGAAGAGGCACCGATAAACTGAGGAGTTGGGGGGTGGTGGTTTGGCTTTAGCAAGATTGGGAGAAACAATAGAGTGACTTGTTTGGTCAGAGCAAAAGAGGAGAAGTGCTTCCAAAAAAACGAAAGAAGAGGAAAATTACGGGGCGTTGGATTTGGCGGAAGATGCCCCGAATCCTACGGTTCTTGTTACTTGGGCCCACCTAGAGTCTTTTTTGCGGTTCTCATCTTGCGCAGTTGTATAAAATGAATGAAAATCAAAATCAATCTTCCCCACGATATCTTCCTAATCTGGTATGCCTACGCATATCATCTTCAAAATAGAAACTTTCCGAATTTGCTTCAGACTCGTTAATTTCTTCGTTTCTCTTTGATTCACTTCCTGTGTCATCAAAATCTTCCAGACTAAGGTCTGATTTCGAATTTAAGATTTACGCTCATAGCTCGAAAACCAGTAGTAGCGTTGGCAGGCTCTGAATCTATAGAGAAGTGACAATAACGAGTTTCAAGCTGTTTTTTGGTTTGCTGGATGACTATGAAAGTCCTGAGAAACCTGAGTACTTCTTTTTATTCCGATCCCGCACCTACATGTTTTCAGAAACCACAAAGTACACGACATTATTCGAATCGGTACAAATCAAAAGGGAGCGAAAGAGAGGACCAAGAGCACCTAAAGCACAAAAGGGGCAGTGGATTGAGAAATCGGATGCATCCAAGCTCTGTTTGATTGCTGGTATTGGTGGAAGCAGCACATAAACGTAAGTTATGCTAATATACGCTATGCACCACGAGATTCGGTCGGTAAAAATGTTTTCTCGACATGTTCTTGCAATCAAACAAATGGAAAACTGTTATACGTGAGGAAATTGATACTTGGGAGTTGCAGCATTGAAGACTGGGGTTGAATGCATTAGCGGCGGGACCAAACAGCGTAAATTGGTTTGGCCGTGCTATTTACTTTATTGGAATGTTTTATGGTGTTCTCCAAAGATTTTGAAATTTTTTGATGTAAGATTGGCGCTACTGATCTTTAAGCGCATTTGTTTATACTAGGAAGATATTTGGACTTTTTTTTTTTCCCCTGTAAATGTTATCGACTATAGTACACATTTTTTTAATACCGAATGGTTGTTTGGAGATTCAGATATCTGGCAAACGTCTTGACGAACGTAGGTAGAAAATTAATTAGAGTTTTGCAACATCAGTTTCCATATAAAATTTCAATTAAAGGATAAATGATTTGATACGACTGATTCAGAGTAAGTTATATTTTGTCTTAATCGAATTAGTTGGTATGACGACTCTATGTAAGCACGGTCTTCCAGGCCACTTTGGCATAACTGCTTACTCGGTAATTTTTCCAATGAATATTCATCAATTTTTCATTCCTTTACAGCTTTAGAGTTTCAGTTTTTTTTTTTTGGGTAGTTTCTATCAAAATATTCCAGCCAATGCAAGGCCTTACCTCTTATTTATTATTAGTTTTGCACGACATGATCACTGCAAGCAGTGAGCTTTCTAGTGTGTTTGAAAGCTCTTGGAGGCCAATGAGGTCAGTTGGTATTTGCTAATTTTACATGTTCATCAAAACTTGTTGAACGTAATTGTTGAAATCTTGTCGTGTTTATTATATCTATTGATTGCAAAACAAGTTGAGCACCTGATTATGTTACTAGGTACATAAAAATTGACATATGTAGAAAAGTTTCTGCCACAGTTTCTTTTTTTTTTTTTTTGGTCAGCATATTAGTTTACTCGAAAGCATGCAGCAAAACTACAGAAAATAAGCTACCTTCTGACGAATTGGACTGTGTTTTATGCACTTGCTATTCAGTTTGTGCTTTACCAGGTGAGTTGGTGAAATGCTAAAACTCTTGCATGAGATTTCTTATGCTTAACAGTAAGATCTTGTTCTGCATACTTACAGCATTATCAGACAACAAAACAATAGAAACTGCTAATAATAAATTCTATTCTCTGTTTACCATGCAAAATCTTTAATATAAGACCTATTTAACTAATTTGATTAGATTAAAGAAGCTAGGTAAGTTAGTTAATTATAAGAAATATGGTATGCTTTTTCTAAAACACCATAATCATCTTTCCTAATATCCTCTTTCCCTTTTACTTGATTATGGTTGAAGGAGTATCAATAGGAGTAATTTAGAAAAATTTATAGATATGATAAATAGGTCTTACGTTTAAGACCAATATTAACTCAACAATTAGGTCATATGTTAAAGACCGAGGAGTACGACTTTAAATGTTAAAGAACATGATAAAATATTTTTACCCGGCATATTAAGGTGTGAAAAATTCTCAGCTAGGCCTTATGTACATTCTTACTCCTTTCTGTCGCACTGTGTCTCGTCAAAAAATGGTGCACCTGGCAGGAGATTCAAATGATAACTCTCTTATCTTATTCTTATCACTGAAGAAGTGGTTTAAATGAACTTAATAGCTGTGTAGCATGAGGAAGTTTACCATTAAAAGATGGATTAGACATTGAATGAGTGAAATAGAAATGCTTTGGGCAAGTATTATTTGATATTCACTTAGGTTTCTCAGTTGGCTGTTTGACTGAACTTACTCTAAATAACATAACACTTGGGATGTATTCTTGCTAGCTGTTTGATGAGAAATCAATAAGATATGCTTTTTATGGTTTTGTCAATGCAGATTACTTAAACCAGAGGGGGACAATGCATTTGCACAGAATTTACAATGAATGATTCACGGCGGTGCACGCATGTGTGCACATACTAATTAATATTAATTTGATTCGATGCGACTATCTAATTACTTTTTCTTTTTTTTTTTTTTGGCAACATGGAGGCCAAGTCCTTTTCTACATAAAGACCTCATAGGACAGACCCTTTACTTGCACAATTGCCTTAGGGAGACCCATTTCAAATTTTAAAACTTTCAAGTCAGTGCTAGCAGTGAATCACTTAATAGGACAAGTTGCTTACGATCCCAATTTATTACCCAGTGTCTTGTCCTTCCTAACAGTGCAACGTATCCTTTTCTTTTGACAAAAGCACAGAAAAAGAAGAGCACTCTTTCGGTCTTCCCCCGGTATCAATCTTCCCAATCATATCTACTTATATAACAAATTGCTCCACCTAATTGAAACATTTGTGGCAAAATTTCTTAACAATTTTATGCTGTGCAGGCGTTTGATCAATTTATAGATCTGCTTCTGTGAATTTGCCCATCGAGAATTTAGGGTGAATATCTTGTTTCCGAATCAAAGGCAAGTTTTTTGCAACCAATTTCAATTTCTGATATGGTAGGAATTCTAGGGGACAAAAATTCCATCTCACCTGCTCACGAAAGAGTTCATATCGTGCCTTTGAATCTCGCAAAGGGCGCTTTATTTATGCATACAATGTCCATTACTGTGTTTTTCTTGATTGATACTGATGGAGGCTTGGTAGTATTTGATATTAAGTCCCATATTGAGTAGGCTGGGATGCTTAATAGGCATTTTAAGTGAATCGGTTGTCCTAACTCAACGGCCTTTTGGGTAGAATTCCCCATCCCATTAGCTACCTATCAATTGATATAAGAGCGAGGTTGTTGATGGTTCCAGAGAGGGCTGTCATGATCTAATTGACTTTCAATCTTTACAATTCACCGGTGTAGCTTTCTGCATCTGTGAATTGGACATAATTTTTGCTATAATCTTTTCTTTAGTGACATTTTATCTCACAATAGATCTTATCTGAAAAGTTCATTTTTAGTCTTTGAAATATACTTTTACAATCTATTGAAGAAAAAATAAAAGATTCTTTGTTTTGGCCCACCCTAGTTTTATTCTTGAAGAAGCTTTCAGACAGGAAGTTTTATTAGATAACAATAAAGGTCTGTTGATTAGAGTCTTGCCTCCCACTATTTATTAATTGAATTTAGTAATTATAATGAATATTCCAAGAGAGATAAATTTGACAAAAATGGCTAACTTAAATGAGAAACTATGGTAAGTCTTGATCTTCATAGTTTGTTATGAATATCCCAAAATTGACAACATGAGTCCATTTAGACAGAGATATTAGCAATTTGTAGCATGAGGAAGTAAATTGATGCCAATCATTTCCAGTAATTCAAAAGCTACTGTATGAAGAATCAAATATGTTTGCAAGAAGCATGTTACAAAATAGTTGTATTTGCATAGAACAAAGTTGTTGCTTTGGGTTTCAGTGATCTAAGACGTAGGGAAAGTAATTTTGTTTGGATCTTGTGATTTCAAGCAATAACTTTAAAGGAGTATTTTATCAAATTGAAGAACTGAATTATTACTCAACAAATTCAAATTAATACTGGGTGAGATCGCAGCATGTTGCAAAATGGCTAGATTCCGCAGAAGGAATTTTTTTGGTTAGCCTTCAGTGGACTAATAGCGAATAAAGGGAATGTAATTTGTTTGGGTATCGTGTTTTCAGACAACATGTTGCAGAATTGTAGATCTCTATAGAAGATGGTTATTGGTTTGGTCTTCAGTAGTCTGATACCACTTATAGGGAAGATTGTTATTGTTTTGGGTCCTGTAGTTGGAGCTGTTTGGCTACTTACTTTCTCAATTTATACCAGTGTACCAAGGTTGAGGTGGGCAGATATGATGGTTGATGAAAATTCTTTTTATCCAGATCTCTCTTTCTTTCTCCTTTCATCTATCTTTCTTCTTTTTCATGACAAATGGTATTGGAGCAATAGTCCATCGACCATGAAGCCATGTGTTTAAAAGCTCCAATGAGAGAGCAAGGGGGCCAAATTTGTCTTCCTATGGAGCAGTGAATTGCATATTTGATCGATCAAGTTCTGTCAAGAATGGAGCGCAGGATGTCAAATATTCTAGAACTGACAAAAGAGATATCAAAATAGATAACCTAGTTGATGAGGTCAATGGTATCAAGTGGACAGCGTGTTTGGTATTCATGGGCAGGTAAAGACTCTTATCCACATGATCATCCCCTGAGGAACTTCCAAAATCTTTTCCAGGGGATGTGCTTGGTGAGTTCCAAGGTAAGAGATGTACATATTAGTGATCAAAAAGACGAAAGATCCAATAAAGGATATGATGCCACTGAGGCAAGGGGGAGAATTAATGAACATTAAGACTGAATATGCTATCTTTTAAGGTATATCTTACTTGAATCGAGCTGATCAGTTGCTTCCTGCGTGGACTAAAGGAGGAAATTTAGCAATGGGGTGTGGCTATTCAGACCACAAAGGGGATGAGAAGTAAGTTACCTGGGTAGTTGGAGCTTAGGGCTAATTACTCTCTCAATATATACCAATATGACAAGGGCTGAGGAGGAAGATATGACGGTTAATAATGATTCTTTTCATCAAAATCTCTCTTTCTCACACCTTTCATCTGTGTGTGTGTGTGTGTGTGTTGTTCTGTTTTTTTCAGTAACAGTTTTTCAATTTATGAGGGACCACTCACTGCTTATGTGAAGAGTAAACATTTAAATGTTGCCTCGTGTAACAAATAGTGATACAAATGAACAGTTTGGTCTTCCATTAATATTCATTTTTTGATCCATTTAATTTGATTTGCTGATTCATCAGTTAGTTAAATAACTCAATTTATTTTTGTGGATTTATGATCATAAAATTGATTTACAACATACGAAGAATTCTTCTCTGCTTCCGTTTTTTCATCACTTAAAGATTAGCAGTTGTAACTACCATGGGAGTTAAAACTCTTTGCATGCTTTTATCAGAGCCGAGCTGTTTGTTCCTCATCATTACTCTAGGAAAGTTGCTGGGACTCAGCATTTGAATAATTTCAATAAAAAGATGGGTAGAAATACAAAATGAAAGGATAATAATCTGCATATGGTTATAATTTTTCAGTCAGTTCTTTTTCCCTGTCGCAGATATTTTGGCAGAGGTGACAATAAGAGAGGAGAATCTTGAGTCACTAAATAAATAATATGGCCTACGCACTTAGGCAAAGAAAGCAAAACACTAATTATGCAGATTCGGACAGTCCTGGAAGTGATTCAGTTGGTTCCGATACAGACTATTTATCAGGGAGCTTTAGTAGACAAAAACGGAGAAGGAACTTGACATTATGCTCTCCAGCTACTAAGGAGACTAAAACGGCAAACTCAGGTGTAAATTTGACAGCAAGGCATCGACGAGGTCGAACCTCAAAGAAGAGGGCACAGGAAATAAAAAACAAGGAAGCCAGTAATGCTACAAGTTCAAACAATAAAAACGGAACATTATCTGCTGAACAACCAAGTTCAAACAAACTAACCATTTTATCATGGTTGTTAGATTGCAATGTTGTCAAGAAGGGTGAACATGTCACCTACTCGAATAAAATAAAGGGAAGTACGGCAAAGAGAGGAACAATTGCCGGAGGTGAAATTCTCTGCAGCTGTTGCCAGAGGGAATATTCTGTGTGGGCCTTTGAGAAACATTGTGGAAGTGACCTTAAACAACCCTATGAACATATATACCTTCCTGAAAAACAAAGATATCTTCTGGAGTGCATGGTGATTGCTTTGTGTGAGAACAGTGAACCGAAACATCAGGAAACACATTCCTTTGTATCCAAGAGAAATGCAGGAGATAAACATGATTATGCTTGTCCTGTTTGCGGAGATGGGGGAGAGTTGATCTGCTGTGACAAGTGCCCCTCCACATATCATTTAAACTGTTTGAATTTGGAGGTAATTAAAATCCTTTTCGTTTTCTTTAAGGGTGGATTTGGGGATCTCCTTGAGTATTTGGAATTTCTTTTTGGTGTAAGTTTGGAATTAGTTTTTTGTTTATGGTTTAATATTTCATTTTCTGAACAAATATTGTGGATTCATGGCGTTTGAGTTGCAGAGGCTTCCTGAAGGAAAATGGTTCTGTCCTTATTGTGTATGCAAGCATTGTGGGCTTAGTGATAAAAGCAAGCAACTGATTAAGTGCTTCCAATGTAACAAAAAATGTAATATTTTTTCCTCATAGTCCATTAAGCATCCTTATATAGAGGTCTTGCAAAGATTTACTGCTTTTTTCACATTTCTATTTTCCCTCCAAGTCTCCAACTTGGTATTACTGACAAAGCAATTTTCCGTGCTTCTGTAGTTGACTGGGGATGCTTTAAGGAATTTGAGAAAGAAGCTCTTAAAGATGCCTTAGACATTGACTGTTCGAGATTATACTGTCAGCAAAGTTGTAGAAAGGTATTATTCTGTCTAAATATGTCTGGGAACTCTATTTATTGTGTACTACCTCTAGTCCAAAATATAAGAACTAGTTAATAGTGTAATTAGGTCTTAAATATAGGACCAGAGGTAATAAAAGTTTTGGGGGATTTTATGCAAACATAGAAAGTTTCACTTCTCAAGGGGCTGAGATTTTTCATGTATTTTGACATTCTTGCTTTACTTGTTTCAAATTATAATTCAAACCATGAAATTTTAAAAGTTACTTTTAGCAATAAAAGAAACTTTGAGTGGTCATGCTCTCTCCATGGATTACTCTAAATACAATGTCCACCACCTTTACTATTCTGACTGTCTGCTTTGTGAAAGACCCATGAGAAATTGGAGAGTTTAGTTGGAGTCAGGAATGAAGTCGATGAAAGCTACTCTTGGAGAGTTATTCGTCAAATGGAGAAAAGAACATCAACTGTCTCTGAACACCAATATGTTGAAAATAATGCCAAGGTTGCAGTTACATGGAAATTAATGGATGAAGCTTTTGAGACAATAGTTGACAGATATACAGGCCTCAATGTGGTTCGAAGTGTACTATGCAGTCTTCGGTAAGCACATTGATGGCGTTTTTCTACACTGTTACTCAGCTTTTCATACTTTGCACTTTGACCTATACAACTTACTGCTGCTCCTTTCGTCAACATATTTTATTTTTTCATTCAATGCTTCTCTGATTCTATATATTCTACTGCGACCACTTCCATGCTAATATCCAATTTAGTGCCTTCTGATCATTCCTAATTCTAATGCAATTCAGGTCAAAGTTACCCAGGGTTGATTATAGCCGTTTCTATACGTTTATACTGGAAAAGGATGATGAAATTGTCTCTGCTGCTTCTGTGAGGTGTGTTTCTTTTCTTTTGCTTGTGAACACACTTTTTTTAACACCAGGCCCTCGTCCCTCGCTACTTACATGTAAATCTTAAATTCTGTATCATCTGAGATTAAGTTGAATATTTTATTAAACTTCCACAAATTAATTCTATAGAATCCATGGGCGGAGGCTTGCAGATATGCCCTTTATGGCCACACATAAAAATTATCAAAGAAAAGGATACGGTAGATATCTTCTGGCAGTGGTGGAATCGGTAAGTCATAAACAAGGTCACATAATCTCCTCTTGTATCTTAATTCAACCAAGTACAGCCGTGCAAAGGTTATAATAAAGGTTCAAGCATCAAGTTAAATTTTCCCCTGGCATTCATGAAAGTATTCTTTCTTCTGAAACTCCTTAATTTTTTTTTTTTCCCCAAATATAATTGCCAAAAAAGGTAGATGTTTCATTCTGATTCAGTTCTGTGACTGGTAATTAAATTGTCAGAATCATAAAAGTAATTGAATTTCTTGGTATGATCTTTTAGGTTATGAAGGTTCCTTTTCCCTTTCTTTGGCTTAGCCCCCTCATGTAATTTGATTAGGATATTGATTTGTTTAGAGTAATATTGAAAAGTTCGTTATACTGACAGCTTTTTATGATGACTAACTTTCTAGTTGCTCCGCCATCTTGAAGTGCAAAACTTAATTATTCCCTCCATTCAAGAGCGCGGTAGCATGTGGCGGGAAAAGTTTGGATTTGGTGATCCAAGTTTAGAACTGAGAAGTGAACTAGCGTCATGTAGTATTTTAATGTTTTTTCAGTGTTTAATGCTGTGGAAAGACTTAACATTGTCGCCCGCAAAATCAGGTCAATAACTCTCTCTCTCTTGTGCATGAAGTTCTGCTCCCTCATTTTTTCTTCACTCTCATCTTCCCCTTCTACAGTTAGCAATGACCAAAAAGAAGAGAGGCAAATTGGCATTCTGAATGTCGAGGAACCTCGAAATAATCCAATGGACCGTTCCCTTCTAGACCTTAACATATCCCCTCCTGAAGAATGCACAAGGACTGTGGAAGATGATGCGTAGTTCGCGGCTAACGTTGCTGATTGAGTAGTTCTTGGCATTGAAACTGTTAGTGGCTGGTGTTGATATTCCTACCTATCTAATTGGAGAGGTTCAAATAAATGTTTCTTTTGGTAAAACACTTTCAAGAATGTTTGGTAAAACATTCTTTTCCTGATTTACATTTTATTTTAGGATTAATTATTATACTGGATGACATCTTTGTGGGTCAGCTTAAGTGCTCAGCTATCATATTCACCAATCTTTTAAAAAAAATCCCTCCAGTGTTGAACAATATCAATATGCACTAGTCATTTCGTAGTAGTAACAGCTGTTCTATGGTCTCACAAAGCTTTCGTAAGCCTTCATATGGTGTCTTTTTGTTCATCAAAAGACACCAACAGCAACAACTATGCTCCAGTAGATAGCAAGAGCTTCCTGCATTCGAATGAGGAACAGTCATGGTCATGAAATTAGTATTCATGAGTTTGGTACACATGCCAGTCAACGCACTAATTGCGAATTTGAATCCAGCAATTGTATCTTTCTTGAAGCAGATTTCCTTGCCACAGTTCATTTTCAAATACTTGGTGGATTTTCAAAAATTGCCTATGATGTTATTCATTTAATTTGTTTGTGAGTTAATTCACTCTGCGGACTGAAAAATCAATATGAAGTCTTGCGAGAGGTCAATGAATTTACCTATTAGTCTTTTCGATACACACGCTAATCTCTATGTTAATAGGGATATATTCCAATGCCCAAGGCCATTCTTATGATTATGATTAATTTTCATCAACGTGTTACTCAAATAAGTTCGATGTGTTTTGAGAGAACCATCTCCCCCTTTTTTTAATCTCGTTGGCTTGTTGCCTCCCTTCCTATAAACTATGTTTATTCCCTAAAATCTTTAATATTAAGGCCCAAGAAAGAGCATATTTCAATGTTATGGTTTCATCCGCATCGTCACGGGAAACCAAAATGTCACCCTCGACAATAAAAATGAGAAGTTTACCTTTTCAAAATTTGGATTTTGAACAGTCAGTGCACCGTCTAGTTAGGCTATGAAAGGATGTTTTAAAAATATGTTACAAGACTGACAATACTTACCCTCCGTTTGGATGGGGAAAAAAGTTGGGAAAAAAGAAAATGAGAGGAGAAAACAGGGAGAAGAAAAAACTGGAGAGAAAATATTATCACATTTCATATTTGGATAGACAAGAGAAAACAAAAATGAGAGAAAATTAGTAAATATATGAATAACTAAAATACCCTTGCTACTATATCAAAGTATATCTTGATTACAATCAAATTAAATATCATAATAAAAAACCATACATTAACATAATCAAATCATTTAAAATCAAATTATTTGATAAAGATATATTATCATGTTGTAATATTTTAACATCAAATACTTTTGTACAAGAAAAAAAAAAAAACATTGTGTGATGTAATGCTAAAAAACCACCTTTCAGTTTATTTTAGAAGGATTTTTACAATTTTAGTTATTTTATTTTTCAATCAAGCAAACACAAAAAAATAATAATAATAAATAAAGTGAAAAAGAAAAAAATAAATAGGCATTATTTTGCTGAAAAGACACATATAAGGGTGACGAGGGAAAATATATGGAGAGAGAAAAGTTGGAAGGAAAATAGGATGTAAGACTCACCTTATTTTCTTCCCAACTATTCTTTCCTCTCACTTTTCTTCCCTCCTTTCCAGTTTTTTTTCTTCTCTCATTTTCTCTCCATCTAAACATAGCATTAGTGATTACTGGGTTTTAAAGGGACAGACGAGAACATAAAATTAAGGTAGCTTAGATGAGAATTTGGTGTAATATCTATTAAAGAAAAAAATGACAAAAAAATCTATCAAAGTGATTAAGGTACGTACAAAAATGGCCGCCAATGAGGGGGTGAAACAGACACCTGACTTGGTGATACGAAGTTTTGACAGATGCCACAAAGCATTAAAAAACGGTTGAGAAGGAAAGACCAAATTTCACTTATATAACAAAATGATACATTACATCGTTCAAATGTAGTTGAAAAAATAATTAATAAATTACGATTGGAAATACAAGAATAAGATTGTTACAATCAAGAAAAATACAAAGGGAAGATGGTGTGAACTCTGTCCCTTGAAGCAGTTAGCCTTTAATCTTCAATTTTTGCTCTCATCAGACACCTCGTTTCTGAAACTATCTAGAACTATACTGCAGTTGTTCATTGTGGAAGCATCAAGAAGGCCATGATTCCAAAGTTTGATCATGAATAGCCTCCAACACCTGCAGCAAGAATATTCAACTTCAACTCAGAATTCCGAGAATAGGCTAGTACTTAGTAGCAGGCGACCAAAGAACAAATAAATAAACAAATAAATGGTTAGGCACTTCAGGTTTTGGTCTCATAAAACCGAAATGAGGAAGAAAACTATGATCAAGGCATTGGGTACTCATCAAGATAACGACCATATAACACTTGTATGTAGGTTCGGTTAGCATCTCTGAATTGAAGGACAGGAAGTGGAAACAGAAGTTAAGATTCTGTTGTTTGGCATCATTGATTGCATGTGGAAGCCAATGCCGTTGAAAACCATGGAACTGGCTTCCTCACCAGTAACCCATCATGATAGAAGTCTCCAAAACTTCATGTGACACATCTGCCCCACCTCAAACTCCACTTCCCTTGCCACTTCATTTTGTTCCTTTCTTTTATGTGCGTGCGTGTGTGTCCACAACACAAACCAAACATCCCCTAAAGGAAAATTAATCAATTCAAGCAGGAAAAACAAAAGTCGTACCAAAATAATGCAGGAGATGAGATCAACTCCTTTCCATGAAGCTTGGAAAAGGCCTCACAGGCCCAGGGAACATGACCATCTGCCAGCACACTGCCACGATGAAAAAATACATGATAAGTATGCACATTATACAGATCATTAATTTCACTCTACGTGCAAGAACCAGCTAGCAACCCAGTGTTACTGGTAGGAAGAAGAGAAACAAATAAGAATAGAAAGTATAAGCATCCTAATAGGGGAAGCAGTAGTCACCTTTGCCTCCTCACAAAAGAATTCCAGAGATGCATGAGCTGCTTTTCATCTTTGGAAACGTCAACAAAATCATCAAGCATCTGCAACATGACAGTTTGATTTTAGGTTTTGGGGACTAATCTGACCAAGTTCATAAAAAAGAAATACCCAAGAGCAAAGCTGCCAAAAACCTTGAGGAGCAATAGGATACAGAGGGTACAAAAAGAGCCAAAAATTCATGTTAAAAAATGGGGGGATGTCTTCAATAAATATTAGTCATTGTGACTCTTAGTATTACACAAAACTCATGAAGACCAACGTAGTATGAGATGCCAAGTCTTATATTGAGTAGCTTAGTTGGGGTTTTCCAGTAGTTGGCCTCCACCCCCCACCCCAAACAGCTAGATTTACAGGGAGTCAAAACCGCACTTAATTATTTGCAATTGCCATCAACGCTGGTGGTTTGCTGTTATAGAAAGGGCACCCACTGAGAGCTCTAAACACTAGTGGGGCCAGTTGAAGGAAGCTAGGGTAGTAGGGGATGCCTAGTTCCCACCTTAGATGGGATGATCAATGGGATATTTAAGTGAAACATAATTCTTATGTTCCTTACAGTATTGTCTTATGTTGGATGACAATTTCAATTTGATAAAAGAATGGAGAAAAGGAAATAGAAACTACAAATATTTTTCAGCTTACTCTTCGATCTTCAAGATCTGCAATGTCATCATCAACTTCATCTTCACTGTCTCGATCTGATAACACTTGTTCCAGTGCCATAGGCTTCAAATACCATAGAGCAGAGTAAGACGGAGAAATGAGAAGCAAATTAAATCAACTATAGTATGCCACACCGAACAAGCATTTAATATTGAAAACAAGAACTACTACAACAACAATCCCTATACCACCAGCATTTAACATTAAACACAGTTAATCCTATGTCATTAAAGCTAGATTCACATGCAGGGAAACCACATGAGTAGAATTCAATTAGAAACCATGCTAAACAGAACAAACAATAAGTATCAATCTCTAGTAAAACTAACTGCTTAGACATCAAAACATCCATAGAAAGTCAATAATTCTCTCTACCATGCTGGAAAATGAAACCCCACGTGAAAATAAATTAACTAGCCAAAGGAAGGGAAGGACCCAAGGGGGAAAAAAATTCAAAGAGATCTAAGAAAACTAGTCACCTGAACTCTGTGAGAGTGAAAGAACTGTCTTTTCTGCAGGAGCATACGACTGGAGAAACAAAATTTTACAGGAAAAAATAGATTAGCACACTTATTAGGAACTTGACAAGGATAACAGGAATTATTGCCATGAATAATCTCTTTCAAGCTAATCCTATAGTAGAGGAATTAAATTGATTTAAGAGACAATCTTCAGATATTTTCCATCATATGGCTGATGCCAAAGGTAACAAAAACATCACATAGGCATGGTTAGAGAAACATCATTGCAAAAGATAGGTATCATATTCAGAATTCGGTTATAATCTGACATGCAAAGAAAGTAATTACAATATAATATAGACATTACATAGAACCAAGCTGACGGAAGAAACATCATTGCAAAAGATAGGTATCATATTCAGAATTCATAGCATGCACCAAAGAGATTGTTCATAACATGATAAGTAAAGGGGAGAAATAATTTTTTTTTTCCAATCATACAGCCAGCACGCTTTTTATCTTTTGTCAAAAACAAATGAGTGGAAAAAATTAAAACTCAAAAACTGCAAATACACACACACACACGCACAAGGTTTAAGTCTTTTCTAAAAACTGAATATCATTCTTAAAAAAACTAATCACAAGAATAAAAATAAAGAAGCAGGCAGTAGGTTATATGAGAATACTTTCTTGAGTCTGACCGATCAATGTTCATCTTCCTTGTCTTGGCAGGCAAAGCAGAATCACATCTAGATACTGATTTATTACATTCAGGGTCCCTAGAAGTTTGGGGCATGGCAATTGGAACACCTGGAATGTTGAAACTAGAAGCAACATGTTCCAAGTCATCTGTAGTACCAGGATAATGAGGACCATATTTCTCTCCATCCAGTCTTCCATTCTGCAATTCTTTCTGACTGGGAGATATCTTGTACAAGTCCCCACCTCTGCCGGACAGGGTGTCTACAGAAAACTAAATATCAGTCTAACCCACAAATAATGCATTGATAAAAAAGTTACATGAAAATTATAGCTGGGAAAGTGAGGACTGCTAAATATCAAGGTTGTGCACAATACGCTATATGCAAGGGGCAGGTATTTCATACTTCCCAGCTATGCGGTCTCCACTCGGGTATCAAAAGAGATGAATGGAATTTTCTATTCTCTCATATCCCTTCCAATACTGCTTTGCTAGCTGTCGATTAACTTAATTTCATTTTTAGCAGGCCATAGATTTGAAGTACAGTGCAAATGAGTCTACTTTCAAGTTACCGGGTATCTCAGGAACATATCCATTCTTATAGATAATAGTAGTAGGCACCCAAGTACAATCATTACCATGGTGCTTCTCATGAAAACCATTCTGCATGCCTTCTGTAGCCAGCATGGGTGAATCCAGCTCCAGAAACTGTATATTAGCACACTTATCATTTTGATTAGAACCTTTGCGTACACGTCGTCGAGGCCTTGCACTGTTCAGTTAGTCGTTAATTCAACATTTCAAAGTCAATAATTTCACTAAAAATTATATGAATTTGCCAGTAACTGCTTTGAATATAGATACACAACCAACCAGAAGAAGAAGGTTTGTGACTGTGGATTTATCCCATCAGTGACATTCTGCAAAGTGCAAATAGATAAATGTTAATACAAATGATAATTAGCACATAACATTCTTTTCAAATGAAAAATGAAGATTTCACATAGGCTGACATAAGGTTATTCCCATCACTATATCAAAGTGAAGCCAAAAATTATTCACAGAATTCAAGTCAAAGTAAATACCTAACAAATTTAAGACAAATTATTAGTAAAAAGCTGCACAGCATAACAGATTATGCATGTAAATATATACTCACTTAAATTTACTGTTCATTCTTTTACCCATTGCCCATAAGAGCAAAATTAAGTAATCGTTTCAGGCAAAGGTGAGACTAACATAATATACATCTGTATACAAGGTATCAAGATGCTCTTCTTAAGGTAAGGCCATTAACTAAGCTTTAGTTGTAGAAAACAAATATTTGGATAGATATTCCTTAAAAATAACAATTACAAAACCATGATCAATGCAAAATGAACAAGTCTTATCCCACCAATTAAGGTCACTTGCAAGGATTGCACAATGCCATTAGACTCTATCACAAGCTAACTCTTCATATATATCCTTCACCAACAAATCCTCTTAAATAACTTCCTTAAGTGTTCTTCTTCTCTCTATCTATCTATATACACACACACATAATATATATAATCTTTTCATAGAGCTAAAAACCATTATCAATACAAAAGATAGAAACCAAGAAACTCCAGTAGAAGCAATCAAGACAAGCTAAGCTAAATAAAAGCACTCTTCCTGACTATCACTGCAGAAACCAGATTCTAGCGGAATAAAATATTATGAATCCAGCAGGAGGATGCACCCTCTACAACTCTACCTGAGATAATGACCAAGTTATCACAGGCCTCAATCCCAACTAGTTGCTTGTGATTAACACTACATACGTGTATTAATCCCTAAGGAAATCAACCACTTCCCATTCTTTAAAACTAAATAGAACCTGACCTCTGATCTCAATATATCAATCTTCACAGAGACGTTGACCGCTTGATAGTCCTCAGTCACCTACAAAATAGCTAAGTTTTAAAATATATCCAATAAATTAGTAAATAAACAATGACATTATAGTTAAAGTTGCAAACCCAAAACTCAAAGTTGAAGAGATCATGTGATGCACAAAGATGAAATCGCAAACCCTGCACCAAATAAGCCATAGTAAGTTTTGCTCCTTCAAATGATAGACCAATGCTGAAATTAAATGCCTTTTTCCACCCAGGAAGGTTCTCACCGTCATTCTACAAACCAGGATAAGTGAATAAACAAAGAGTGATAAAATCCCCCTTCCTAATCTTCAAAACTATAAATGGAACAAGTGATACAGGAATAAAGCTCACAATATACCCTATGTACCTTAAAGCTTGCGCATTGCATCAAGCAAAATGGACAAGAAAAGTCCTCAGTCACTGCACTTAAAAAGAGTTGGGAAAATTCAATCAGTATTGCCCGGATCTAATCCCTTCAAGTAATAAGTAAATGCAATTCTTCTCCACAACACTTTCAGCCACATGATGCAACCACAACATCAGTACACGGTAACAAAGACAAAAATGATGAGTTGCTGACCAAATAGTTTAATTGCACTTTAGAAAATATAATTATTGGAGGCAGTGATAAGATGCAATGCAACATTGAACCTTACCAAAGAGAACAAACAATATCCATACCTTCAGTCTTTCGAATCGTGTTGTAACAGTCCCTATAATTGAATATCACAATTCCAGCTCTTAACCTACACAACAGTGCAAAAGAAACAAGAAAATTTATAACGTATAAGATAAAGCTTGATTTACAGGTGCTCTTTCATTAACAATACATATATTAAAGAGTCATTCATATTAACTCATCACCAGCATAGAGAAAGATAGTTAAGAGTTAAAGTAGAAAAAAGGAATAGGTACCTCTTTTTATGCCTTCCTCGTAATTTGTAGCGCAGACATCTCCTAAGAAATGAAGGCTGCTAAGAAGATTAATCATAAATCAGAAAGTTGAAAGTTCTAAGAAAATTACACGGATAATTCTTGAAGATGTACAACAGCATCTAGGTAAGTACGAAGAGCAAGGTGCCTAGGAGAGGTATCTATAATAAGTAAATGGATAAATTTTGGGCTCTAAAAGTTTGTGCCATGAGAATATACCTAAGTGAAATACGGGCCACCCTCACAAGTTTAAATCGTACGGGGTCCAAACATAAAAACATGCAAAGTGCGCTAATAATGTCAATACAAATTTCTAATTCAAGTATTCAACGACAATATACACAAGAAAAGAAATACAGGGTTCTGCTCTTCAATGTGAGACACGCTTTCTAATTATGGCGATTAAAAGTAGCATTCCGATTGTCCCAGCATAAATTATAAACAGTAAGTAGAACGCATTATATTACATTATGAAGAGAACGGCGGGAGAGAATATTGTACAGTTCAACAGGCTTGCAATAAATTAGAAGGCTCTCATCAGCTGCGGTGTCTTCCTCAGTAGAATGGTGTACAGGAGAATTTTGACGGCACATGTCCTCCTCTAAAATAATTATAACCTGCAGAACATTATGTATATTGAGATGAGAACAAGTGAACCTTAATGCCTCGTACATATCGTCACATACTTTTTCCAGAGTTTCGGTCAATCATCAAAAGAAAAATACCCCGTCATCTATTGAGAAGGCTACGTTGATACATAAGATTGTTCACAAAATGCAGAGATTAGCAATTAAAAGGGGGAAAAGCAAAGATAAACACAATTAAGTATTTGGTATGGAAGAATGAAGGTTTCCGTTTTGCCCTTTCATGATCATAAATTAGTCCAGGTCAACCCTCCCGAACATTCATATTAACAATTCAAAGATCGAGCTGATTTTTCCGCTTCCTGGTATATTTCGAAAACAGAAAAGGCGGAAAACGGAAAAACGAAGGAGACAGACTTACAGTATGAAAAACGAGGAGACAAAAAACGCCGATGAGTTGTTAGTCGTCGATGTTGGGATCTCGCGGGGAAGAACAAGAGCCTCAGTCGTTCAAGACTTCAAATCTGGAGGCCTAGAGTTAGACGACAATCCAGTCCAGCAATAGTATAGTGGGCTAAAGTCTGGGCCATAATGATGGGCTTCAGCCTGGCCCACAATAAGATCTGGAATCACAGCCCAAGTCCTTCTTTCATAACGGCCTGACCGTATTTATATTATAAAGTTGACATGACAATATCTCTGTCAAATACTACTAGGAGGGTAATTGGGTAAGAATAAAACAATGATTTCAGAAATACTTTTACGGTATACGAAGTAAATATGTGGAAGAGTTTATCTCGATTTGCGAAAAAATACTTATGGGATTACCCAAACATCTCCTAAGATTAGATTTAATAAAAGAAGCTAGTTTCCCACAACAAAGGCCAACCATCCAACTAGTTTTCCATGTTGCGAAGCAGAGGGAGTATACATTAGAGATGTGCATGGATTAGACTAAGTCGGGTTTGTTATCAACCTGAAGTCTGGTTCAATAAAGACCTCAGGCTGAAAAAGACAGCCCGAGGTCTGGTCCAATCCAGTACCAACTTGAGGTTGGTTGGACTGGACTTGGTCCTCTAGACTGCTTGGACTGGATCTAAATTTAATTTTTTTTAAAAAAAATTTCTTTAATAGGAGGCAAGATTGTAACTTACCATATAAAATTTTGCATATATTTTAATCCAAAGTTTATCAATTTTGATCATTCCCTTTCAATTTTCCAATAATGTCATGTTTTATTTATTAATCCTCATTGTAGTAAATATATACACATGCTTATTGCTCAAGAAGTTAATAGATAAATCTTGATTATTTGAATAGATAAAAAACTAATATAAAAAATTAAATCATATTAAAATTATATAAATAATAATTGAAAATTAAAAAAACCGGACTGGACTGGACTAGACTAAATGGTCTGAAGGGCCAATCCCTAGTCCAGTCTAGTCTAGTCTTGTTTCGTACCAATTTTTTTATAAATTGGACTGGACTGGATTTGTTCAGGTTAGACCAAACCATATCGGACTATCGGGTTTCTACAGAGCCCCATATATATTACACTCTGAAAGAAAGCAGCTGGGAATAAATGAATAAATTAATTAGTAGAATTGTACTCGGCTTCGCTGACGAAGAACAAGTAGGTGAGATGACTGATCAATCTGGGCCTGGGTCAATTGTCTCTCCCAGCACACATAAGTCATAACGGACCCGCAATCATGTTCACACAATTATCAACTTGACTTTTGAGTTTTTATATTAATATTTTAATATGGCAAAAGCAAGTGTTATGAACAATTATAACAGATTGGCGAGCAAAAAAAAGAAAAATTATAACAGGTTTTTTTTGGGGAAATTGGGTATAGATCCCAATTTGAAAAATTTATTTGGGCATGGTCCCTAGAAATTTGTGAAGAATAAATGTCCACAATGCCCTTGATGAGGATAGATTGCATACACGAAAATTTTAGTTGCTTTTGAAGGAATATACTTTGCACGTATAGAAGTTCAGTTGCACTAACATATTTTGAATAAGATAAGAGATACGGTGCATAAAAAGAATTTAGTTGCACTTAAAGAAAGATATTTTGCATGTATAAAAGTTTAGTTGCACAAAAGAAGTTAAAATATATTGCACACAAGGGAACTTAAATTGCAGTAAAGGAAAAATGATTTGCACATATGGAAGTTCAATTGCATGAGAGAATGGAAGTTATGTTGCACAACTTCTCTTGTGCAACTGAACTTCCATCCGTGCAAAGCACTTCCGTCAACTACAACTAAATTTATTTGTATGCAATGTATCTTCTCCTGTGCAACCGAATTTTTACACATGCAAATCTTGTGTAACTGAACTTTCATATGTGCAAAGCATCTTCCATCAAGTGCAACCAAGTTTCTTTCTGTGCAATGTACCTTTCCTTATGTAATTAAATTTTTATACGTGCAAAGCATTTTTCACTTAATGCAATTGAGTTTCTTTCCATGCAATCTATCTCCTATTTTATTCAAAATATATTATGTGCAACTAAATCTCTATACGTGCGAAGCATCTTCTTTAAGTGTAACTAAACTTCCTTATTTATTCTATTCAGAATATGTTGTGTGCAAACAAACTTCCACCCGTGCAAATAATTTTCCTTTAAGTGCGACTAAGCTTCCTTATATGCAATCTATCTTTGCTAAGGGCATTATGGTCATTTCTTGAGCATATTTATTGTCTTGAAGGACCTCAATCTTTCACAAAATTGTAGGGACCATTCTCCGGTAAAGTTTTCATATGGGGATTTATCCCCAATTTTCCCTTCTCTTTTTTTTTTTTGGGACTATTCTTCTTCTTCTTTTTTTCCGTAGTCAAAATATTGTTCCAATTTCTTTCCACAAATTCTTTGGTTGATAAATGGGAAGGGAACAACATTTAGCTTTCTGAATATCAATATCAATGTATTCGTGCTTGGCCAGTATTTTTGGATATCAATGAATATGTGTGTGTGTTCCAACAAATTAGGTTATTAATAATTAGATGAGTAATGGAGTCTTATTTTTTAAACAGAGTAAAGTGTTTGGGTACTTCGAAAATATCTATGAAGAAACACTCAGTATCTGAAAGTTTTTTTGGCTTGTATACACCTAAAAAATTTACTTTCATAACAAAAATATCCTGATCGTTATCTATCATTAAGTTTTACAGTTAAATTGTGCAATTTAACTGGTGTTTTTAACAGTTATTAACAACAAATAACAATTCAGAATAGACATGCTAGGAGAAAAATTCTAGGGTATATAAAGAGCTAAAAAAAATTTCAAGTGCTAGATGCTCTTTGATAGATACTTTCTGATTATTTAAGCACCTTATCTTTTTTTTAAAAAAAAAACTCCTTGCAAGGCATAGATTTAGTATTTTATTTATATTTAATAAATTTATGAGTTTCTCTTGACCGAAATTTTATAGTCATACTTGCAAGTCACACATTGTTTGCATAAGAATAAAATTAAATTAGTAGATCTCAAGAGCCAAGGACTAAAAGTCATGCTACATGTTTTTTTTTAACCTTAAAAATCATATTATTTGTGGCTTGCTATGAACCGTGATTTTAAGTATTATACATATGATATTATATATCGATGATTGGCTAAGTGAACACCTTGCACCTCATGGCTTCAAGCACCACATGGGCATTTCGATTTTTTCACCAAAAAAGAAAAAAAAATCAGGTCTTAGAAGCTACTCCCTTTTGATCCAAAATATAAGATCATAAGATAATTGATAGTTTTTCACTTTTACCTCCTGTTATAAGAATGAGAGAGTTTAAATGCAAGAGAAAAAGAAACAAGAATTTTTTAATAAAGATAAAATAGGTAACTTTAATCAATTTAAAACACACTAGATGATTTAACTAACATTCCTCAATTTGCGAAAAACAACTTAACTAGGATTTATAATTTTATAAGCACCTTATATGAATGAATATATAAGGTCCTTATATCTGCAACAGTATAATATTTTAAATCCATGGCCTGGTGGGCCATGTAATTTAGCTAAATTTTTACTTGAACCAACAATTTGAGTTAGATTACTTAGATCAATTTAGGGAAATTTTCTCCGCATAGCACCTAAAACCAAACCAAATCAACCGATTCAATTGGAAAATCAGTGAACAAACCAATAGTCCCGTCTAGTTTAAGTGTTAAACTGGTAAGAAGTCCCACCAGTATCAACTCAGTCAAACCAATGTGAACCCATGAAAATTGATGATGAACTGGTTTGGATAATTGTGTTGCCATTGATTTTATTTTTGCTCATCCAGCTCCAAATATTTTAGTAATTAAATATTTGAATGAATTTTAGTGATGATTTTTGTATCAATGATTATGAATTTTAGTTATTTAAAAATCGTAAAGATCAAAATTCTCAATATTGTTATATTTTATTATTGTTATAATCAAACTATTCTTTCCTTGTATTTTGTTATTACTAATTATTAATGTTGTTATATTTTGTTATTTTTAATTAAATTATGTTATTTTACTATGACTGGTTCAATCCCAAGTTGACCTCGATCTAACTCGTTAACTTTTGAGCCATGATTTAGTGTCTGATCTGGTTTTTTGTTCCTTGATTATCTGTCAGCCATGGCTTCACAAATAGAACAACCGTTTAGTCATATTTGTTGTTGTCATTTTATTTCATTTTATTTTTTGGGATGAAATGCTTAAATATTTCAAAAATATCCACTAAGAAGCACCTAACACCTAAAAGTTTTTGCAGCTCTTAGATGTCTTGAAAGTTTGTTTCTTGAGCATTTCTACCCTGAACTATTATTTATTATTAAGTTTGACTGTTAAAAATACTGGTTAAACAATATAATTTAATAATAGTAAAACTTAATGACAAATAATGGTCAGGATATCTTTGCTACAAAAATAAACTTTCAAGACACATAAGAGCAAAAAAAAAAATCCTAAGTATTAGGTGTTCCTTTGTGGATACTCCCAAAGTATTCAAATATGATTTTTTTTTTGGCCAACAAAGGAAGCACTATATATAGCATAGGAAAAAAAACGCAATGCATAGGTTGATTAATATTAAATTTGGGTTGAGATAAGTTGGATTATTTGAATATAAAAATAAAAGAAAGGGATGGTTGAAAATGAAAAACATATGGCTGTTTGAAAATCTACCACGCGTTCGCGTCTCATATTATTGTCACCATCTTTAATTACGTGTCAACACCGTGTCTGCAAAATGGGAGCGAAGTGGAAAACGAGTTGAACCAAATCAGGACTATGATAATAATGCAAAATAACTCTGTTCAGGTCGAAGGTACCGCGTATGAGTCTTTATTAATTAATTAATTAGTAGTAGAATAAAAAGGTTGGTTAAGCAGTATTGGTTAGTGGCTGGCCCAAAAAAAAAAAAAAGCAGTATTGGTTAGTGGTGGTAAATATTAAAATCACGTTTTGAAAAATAATGAGATTAATTACGGCTTAAACAAATTAGAAGTCAA